CAGATAAAAGCACAAAGTCCGAATCTCAACAGCCATCACAGCTCCAACCGACCTGCAGATTCTCCCTCACCGCGAAGGGAGAAAACTGCCGAATCCTCCATCAGTTGCTGAGCCTCCCTCCTTGCGCACCCAAAACCCTCTCTCTCCCCTTCTTCCTTCTTCTCCTCCCCCTCCCGCTCTCCCTCCTCCTTCCTCCCCCTTTCCCTCCTTCTCCCTCCCCCCCTCCCCCTCTCCCTCCTTCTCCTCCCCCTTCCCCTCTCCCTCCTCCTCCCCCCCTCTAACGCAAAGCAATCAACGACTTGTCTTCCGAAAGAGAACGCAGGGGGAAAGAAAGGGGAAAAAACAAAAAGAGGGGAGAATAAGAACGAAGAGAGAGGCCAAGGGAAGAAAGAGAGGAGGAGGAGGAGGAGGAGCAACAGCAAAAGAAGACGAGAGATAACGTGGCGAAGAAGAATATGAAAGAGAAGGAGAAGGACGAGGAGAGGACGATGACGACGACGAGGACGAGGACGAGGACGGGACGAGAGGACGCGGAGTGCACGAGGGCCACGTGCACCGGCTCGGCCCTAACCCACGCGACTACGAGCTATAACCGTCCCACCAAAACGCGCCTCCACCACTCACCTTTAAGAAACAGCTATTGCTCTTCCCTCACCTGCAACAATCATTTGCAGCATATCTGGGTCCTGGCGTCTTTCCAGCGGGAGGACGCGCGGGAGCCAAAAACAGTATTCCAGTGGCCCTCGCGGGTAAAAATAGGCCTACTCTCCTCTCTGCACGATTGTTGATCGCCGTCTCCCGACCCGCAATCGCCGTTCGGTCGCGTAGGCCTAGGGGGGAGCCGGGCACACATCGCCCTTTCAAAGCCTAGGCCATAAATCGCGAGCCGCTTCAAGGGCCTCCTCGAACCGCACACGAGAGGACTCATTTGCACCTCAAAGGACTGACGACATGCGCGGAGACCGAGCCTGATTTAGCGTCTCGGGGAGCGGGAGCGCGCGCACAATCAACAACAGATCAACAACCAACAACAATCACAAGTACATCCTTGGAGAGCGGCGAGTGAGGCTCTGCAGGGAAGGTCTATTTAAAACCCTTGGCATCTGCAGGTTTCTTGCGCGCACGCACGGCACATGGCTACACACAAACACACTCACACACATACACACAACACACATCCTTGCTCAGCACGAACATAAACACTCTCCCCCCTCTCTACTTTCCTTGCTCCTCCTTTTCTCCCTCCCTCTCTCTGCTCTCCTTCTCCCTCCCTCCTTCCCTCCATTCCTTCCCAAACTCACAAACTCCATCCTTCCTTCTTTCTTTCCTTCCTCCCTCCCTCCATCCCATCCCCTCCTCCCT